TTTAATAGTACCATCTATATTTAAATCAAGATTTACTTTAGTTGATCTGCTTTCGGGTTCAATTGTTTTTAAGAAAGTTGCACTATTAGATGACCACTTTTGCAACTCAAATCCACCTCTATTTAAAATCTCTTTTAATTCTTTACTTGCATTTATAGCTTGATCTTCACTATCAAATCCAGAGAGTATGTCATCCATATAGCAGTCTTCCTTTAATATTCGAGATGCTACTGGGAAGTCATCGCCTTCATCTTCAGCTATCTGCTGCAATGTCTTTACTGCTAAGTATGGTGCTGAAGCTGTGCCGAATGTGACAGTAAGTAAACGATATTCTTTAATATTTTCGCTAGGATCATTTCGCCATAATATGCGTTGAAAATCTGTATGCTTTTTATTAACTAATACCATTCTGTACATTTTTTTCAGATCGGAAACGAAACATACGGCATGCATCCTCCATCTCATGATGATGCTGCGAAGATCTTCTTGCAAAACTGGACCTACAAGTAGTTCATCATTCAGTGAAATGCCATTCCTTCCTTTACAAGAAGCGTCGAAAACGACTCGTGTTGGAGTGCTTTCACTATCACTTCGTATGACAGCATGATGACATAAATAAACGCTTTTCTTATCATACTCTTCTTCAGGTATTTCCTCTGCATGTCCTAACGTTATGTACTCCTGTATTACTTTCTTATAATCTTCCTTCAATTTAGGTATCTTTTGTAACTTCCTTTCTAATTGTAAAAATCTTCTTAATGCTATTTCTTTGCTATTACCTTCTACCGACTTTTGTTTCTCTGTTTTGAACGGTAAGTTTACTATGTATCGACCTTCTTTATTTCTTCGGTGTGTCTTTTCATAAATTTCTTCACATAGTTTTTCTTCTTTAGTTAATTTTCTTTCATTTTCATTGTCTAGCTCCCACATTGTTTTCAGCATTTCATCTAAGTTTACCTGATGATGCATTACCATAAGAGACGGCGTATTGTATGTTCTTTCCTTTACTTGACCGAATAAAATCCAGCCCAAAGCAGTTTTTTGCGCACACGGAGATTTTGGAGGACCCTTTATTAATTCCTGCTGAACAATTTGTGCGTATTCGTTAACTCCAAGTAATAAATCTATCGGTGCCGACGTGTAATACGCTGGATCAGCCAGTTGTAAATTTTTCAAATGTGGCCAGTCTCCCACTGCGATTGACTTAGACGGTAAGTTTGTAGTGATTTGCTTCGATATAACATAAGCTTCTGTTTGAATACAAAAATCCTTTTCATATGAAGAAACAATTTGAAATTGTACCACGCTATTAATTCTTGTCTTTGCTGTACCAACTCCAATAATGTTCCCATGTACTGGCTTCTTCTTTAGTTTCAGTGACTGTGTAGCCCTTTCGCTTATGAAAGAAGCCTGTGAGCCTTGATCGACAAGCGCTCGTAAGATTGTTGTATGCCCTGCGTCACTCCTCACTTTGACTAATGCAGTAGCTAATAAAGCGTATACCTGGTTTGTGTTGCAGTGTGACGTCATCAATGTATTGACTTGAACTTCTTCCTCTTCTACACCTGTATTTTCATCACTCGTATGCATTGTTGTTTTTTCCATCTTAGTGTGATGCAGAAGGGTATGATGACGCCTGTGACATATTCGACAAGACAGTGGCAATCGACACTTAAGAACAGAATGTCCTGTCAACAAACAATTAAAACACAGGTTCTTACTTTTTGCATAGTTATTTCGTTCAATAATAGACATATCAGCAAATTGTTTACAATGGCACAATGTATGGTTTTCATTGCATAGTATACATGTTTTTACTGGACGCTCTGTGATATGAAATGAACGTTCCCTAAAAGCCTTTTCTTTTACCTTTTCGGATGACAAAATTACAGCAGGACTAGCTAATTCCAATGTACGAAATTTTGATTCCAAAAAACACCTCAAATCTGACCACATTGGTAAATCATCAGAATTATTTTTGTAAGAAAAGTTCTCCCACTCCTTACGTGATTCCGGGTCTAACTTTTGTATAACAAAAAATACAACTACAGGATCCCATGACTCAGTATTAATATTTAAATTATTTAATGTATTGAGGCATTCAACAGTATTGTCTAATAACATCTTTATTGAATTGACAGACTGAAAACTTACCTTCTTTTGAGAAAACAACCTATTTAACAGAGAATGTACTATAATACGTCTATTTCCATAACGTTGCTTTAGAAGATTCCACGCGTCGTCATAATTATAATCGGTAACACGAACATGACGTAGAAGTGCTTCTGGTTCACCCGCGATGCTAGTTTTCAAATAGTGAAGTTTTTGTACGTTCGAAAGCGATGCGTTGTTATGTACTAAACTTACAAACAAATCTTGAAAAGTCGGCCACTCTTCGTAACTCCCTGTATAAATCGGCAGCTGGATCCTAGGTAGTCTAACTTGCGATGATAAGGTAGAGTCATTTGCATTGGATGATCCATGATGAGACCCCTGAGATGGTGAGATAGGTGATTCGATTTGTAAAACTGCGTCTTGAATGTCCGCTTTGATGCAAATGTACGCATCTTCAACAATACTATATTCATCATTTACAAAATAGGAAATGATTGTACGTTTGTCCCGCGGTGTAATCCTTATAAGCTCACGGTGTGCAGTAGTATACGATTGCCAGTATTCATCAATGCATTGTAATCTAGTTTGTAGATATCCTTTCGTCAATCTAGCCTTCGGACATTTCTTTAAATTTACCTTAGTCTTATTCATTAAAGAAGCCGTTTCCTCAAGTTGCAATAATATTTGTTCCATTGTATTTTCAGTGGTTGCCCTGTTAGTGTCTGTAGCCATAGTTTATGTTTGTTATTACAACTCACCAAATGTACTAAAATTGTTTGTCCTTCTTCGATAGCTCTTTTTACTGATTAAACTCTCGTAATACGGCGACTTTGCAATAGTATCACTAATGAATCGAAAAGATAAATTTTTGTTCACATTATAATGCATTCAGCCATCTTTTTTTCAGTTCATTTTAAATATCCGGCTCAGTACGGGCCATTATGTGGCGTATAGTTATTGTAATAAAGCCTATAACTGCATAGCAACTTTATAATAAAATAAAATACATGTTGACGGTTTGACGATTTAATGAACACTGCAAAGAGAACTTAAGTACTTCTTTATAATCATTTGTAATACAATATACTCTATGACATTATTCTTTTTAAATGTATGTTTAAAACTCAACACTTACTCATTTCTAATAATTTCTAATACTTACCACAGGAAATGAGTAAGTATTAGAAAAAAAACATTAGTCATCGCTCATTTAACAAGGCCTACTGGGTCGGCGAAAAAAGACGAGAACCATGAGGATGTTTTTTTGTTTTCAAGTTGCCTCACTTTCAGCATGAATTGAAAGGAAACTTAACAATATTTTTCATATTATATTATGGCAAAACAGAACAACATACCGATTACCAATATGAAGATATGTATTTTATTAGGTAAGATGACGTACATTGGAGGGCATTATCGCTCGGTCATTTAAGAAAATTTTCGTTTGAGCATGTTTAAACGTTAAGCTGAAGCTAAAATACTGCTATACAAATGAATGCATCGGCAGTGGAGCCTCTGTCTGGCAAGTCAGATGGAATAGCTACTCAAGAGATTGTGGATGAAAAATCCCGCAGTGAGGGAGCAAGTAGTGCTACGATTACAGATGCTGATCAGGATAAATCTGTTATTGATGTACAACAAATACATGTACTAGATGATGTTGATACTGTTGTCCCGAATATAGCGGATCCAGCTCACTTATTCGAAATAGCACAATAATTGATCATATAATAAGAAGTGGCCCACTGCAAACTCACTGTCACAAAGTTACAACAATTACACAAAGTTATACATAACAATTATGTAACACCCTGTAAGGGTGTTACAAGGGTAAAGAGTATGGACCCAATTTCAATAATTAACCTGTTATTTTAACATCGTATATGCTTTAAGTATTAGGGAATGTGTAGTATAGATAGCAAAAATTAATCTGTACTTACCTAATGATGTGATATCCGTCAACAATGAATCAGCTACTTATACACTATTTATATGTCTATTTTTTAAATAAAACTAATGTCACTCTATACTTGGAACAAGAGCATCGTAACGTAGCGTTAAACGTTTGATTACTGTGTTTGTTTGTTTTAAAATAATCGAATAATTGTTTTAAGAGCGTCCACCTCTGTCAAGCATGAAGATGATTGTTGATTGTGTTCTGCTTCGTCAAAAATTAAAAGAGATAGATCTCGGGAATCCCCGATTATAGAAAAATACATTGTTTCTGTATGGTCGGAAAGTCGGGGATTCCCGAGAAATTAATCCGATTGAACACTACGTTCCATTCTAATGCTGCCAACTTAACAATCTACCTAAATTTAGGGAAAATTACAAGTAAGTAGGCCGGGTTGGCGAAAAAAAGACAACTGATTTGTAGTATGTAGTAGTAATTGAATTGCTGTTAGGGGGCGCCGAAGAAATTTCGCCCAGGGCGCTAGTAGTGCTAAAACCGGCACTGAATGTTAGTATGACTTTAGGACATAAATCGGTACTTATTTTAGTTAATATATTATTTATGTGCTACTTGGGTTGTGTTACCTAATAAATAAATTCCAGGTTTAGATTAGTTCTTAAATTAAATCTCTTCTAAAATGTGCGTATTTTTGAATAGAAAGTGTTGCTAGCTGCATGTCTGCTCCAGAACTATAATTTATTAAAGGGTTACTAGTAGTGAAAATTAACGTTGTGTATATATGAAACACAAGTCTTGAATTTATATTCCGATATGGTCATTTTGATTCTGTTTACATTCTCACTCATTTGAATATCTTTCATCAAATGAAAGGAAACTTATTTTCAATCCATAGAGCTATGAAAGTTAGGGTAAGTGCATATCCGACGGAATGGGCTATTTGATTTATAATTTAGTATATTTTTTAATAAAGGATGACCACGAGGTAACGGATGAAGATATAGCAGGGCTACTCCGTCAAAGGCCGCATACTGTACCTCATGCTGAGATTCTTCGCGCGGTTTACGATCGTGTCAATGACGTATCTAGTACACTGCGTACGCGCGCACTCGCTATACTTACAGATTGCGTAGCCAGTGAACGTCCACCAATGAAGGAGGCTCTACGGGTATTTAGAATATTTTTTTCTTTTTTATTTTATTTAAATAAATTATTTTATTTTATTTTTATTAATTATTAAACGGATATTAACATTATATAGAGAGAAATAAATAGAGAGAAAAATGTATTGCGTTAACTTGTACGGGATGCACAATGTCTCTGAACTCACCCTGAAATATGATATAAAGGTATATGGTAGCGATTCGTATCGTTTTATTTTAACACTAACATAATACATTGGGTCAATGCCCGTTTTTAGGAATAGACTATTATTTATTCATTCTAAAATAATATGTCTGAAATGTACTGTAGTATATTTTTTATGTTATCGAATCATTCAGCGACATAACTTCAACATTCACCTGTGTAATGTTGACATAAATAACAAAACTGGTTTATCATTTAGTCATATTATTTAAATTAACGAATACGTACAGGAACTAAATGGTGATGGCGAAGTATCACGCTTAATGGCTGTATGTGCGCGATGCGTTTGCGATGAACGCGCAGCCGTAAGACGCTCGTCAGTGGCATTGTTACACCGGTTGTTGCTATGCTCCACCGGTGATGACGCAGATTTATCAACTTCACCGTCGCCCAACGATCTAGGAGTGAGTGATTATTAAACCTATATAATAAAAAACCAGCCAAGTGCGAGTCTGACTCTCGCACGAAGGGTTCTGTACCGGGAACGAGCAAAAAATATTAGCTTTATTGCTCGTTCCCAGATAAATATATAATCTGTAAATATAACAAGCGTCTGTTGTCGTTATCAATATCGAGCAAAAATAAGTAAAAAATCACGTTTGTTGTATGTGAGACCACTAACAAATACTAAAAATCAGAATAAAATAAATTTTGATTATTTTTAGTATTTGTCGTTGAAGCGGCAACAGAAATTCATAATTGGTGAAAATTTCAAGTGTCTTACTTTTCCGGTTCATGAGATACAGCTTGGTGACAGACAGACAAACAGACAGCGAAGCCCTAGTAATAGGGTTTCCGTTTTACCCTTTGGGTACGGAACCCTAAAAATCAACTGTCTCAGCTGCTCTAGATGTGGAATCCATATCAAAAAGACTCTTTTTTGATTTTTGAAATATCTGTAGTCAGTTGAGTAATAAAATAATCATTTAATATAAAATAATTTAATAATTACATAGTGAACAAAAATTCTGTTTCATCTGTTGGTAATTAGATAATTTAATACTATTGAAATATTTTTTCATGTCTTCCCTCTGGATTACAGACAGCACTAACATTGCCTGTGAACGACCTAAGGGTATGTTAGATGGATTTTAGAAGACATGATGATGTTTGGAACTTTAATTTAAAAATCTTTAGGTTGATAATCATATTATATAACGACTAGCTGACCCGATATACGTTGTCATATCTAAATTATGAATATTGAATTCGAACAGTTTTTACATCCTATTGTGTCAATTCCATGTTAAACGTCAAACGGGTTACATTAAAAAATATATACATATACATATTATCCAAAGCACTAAGGTTAGATTAGAAATAATTTTATATGGTGGTTAAATATTCTTAAATTTCAAATTTTCCACACCATTTTCTTGCCATTTCCTTTAATAAGAACCTTCTCCAGACACAAACAAAAAAAAACACACCAAAAAAATAGAATTTGCGAAATCGGTCCAGCCATTCACGTGTGATGGTGTGACCAAGGGAGATAGGCATTACTTTTTACGGTTGACATAAACTATAATTTACTCGTGCAAAGTCGCGGGCAACAGCTAGAATATAAAATTTTATTAAAAGAAATTATATATTATTATTTTTGATCAATTTTGCATTCACAATGCCATACTGGAAAAATATTCTAAATGAAAAATTAAAAAATCCACCACCCTCAGGTATTCTGAAATGGGATTCGAACCCACGACCTTTCGTAATCCGGGCGACAGTCCTACCCACTGAGCTACCCAGAATCTAACACAAATGATGGATTATTTAACATTTTTCATTAAGTATATTTCCCAGAAAGGAGCAATTTAGAAAAAAGTGTACCCTAATGAAAGATGAATGTTTCGAGCAGATTCTAGTGGGGCTATGCCGTGATGCCAGTATCCTTGTCCGCTCGGCTGCTATTGGTGCATTAGGAGAAATTCTGATGTCCTTACCGTGTGATGCAGTCTTCGACGCTTTCCTATCTGGGCCTATGCATCAACTTTCCGATCCAGAAAACAAGGTAACTACTATTGGCTCTTACCATCATAGTCTTTACAGATTTCATGGCCAAGTCTAATATCAAACGATGCCCTAAAAGCGCTGCACAAGCAAGTCAGTATATTACCAGCACGTGATTGTTGTAAATTATGTGCATTTTTAAGTTACTTTCGCTAAGTGTATATTTTGTGGTGATTAAAATTAGGTGCTTTTAATATTTTACGTTTCTTCTCTAAAAATATGATCAATTATTTCAACCTTTATGGATGTTTATTATTCTATAGTTCCAACTATGGAAATGTTTGATTTTTTTTCTCATGATGTATTCGAACTTTATTTATATACAGCGTGTTTGGTAATACCTGTATAATCCCGAAACATGGCCATACAACCTAGCACAAAGAACACAATTGATAGGTCAAAAAACAATTTCATGTAAATTTATATTTTCATACAAATATTTGAACAATTTGTTTTCAATTACTATGCTACAACCCTGTAAGCTTACACGTGCCGTCCCGGCGCACTCGCTCTTTCTCTCTCTCTCTCTCTCTCTCATTACCTCTCAGTCTCTCGTTTCCTTGAATACATTTTGATGTTGCCGACGCGCGCACTCGACTACGTATGAGTTTACTTGTAATTAAAACAATTTAAGATTAAATAGGTACATACCTATAGCGTTCAAATCACTCTTTCAGCTTTCACTTGTCAACATTACCTACACTTCACCTCCACTTTATCAGTCCAGGGTCTCGATATGCCGGCCACCGCATAAAACACACATCTCCATTCGACTCGACACAGACCGTATCGTGTTACTCTCGACGTAAAGTCATATCCTCTGTCTCGATGGAATAGGTGATCGGCCGGCCTACCTGTGGCACACTATGGAATGAACCAGTTGTATGTAACCAATTCACAAATGCCGCGAATCACCGGTAAGAAGGAAGACGTCGATGGTTTTCAGGTCTTCCTGACACGTGGCGCTCGTCATAACGCCGCCGAGCCGCAGCAAGATTACCGTCACAAGCACCGCCACACATTATCATCTCGTAATATTAGGCATTTGAGTACGAATTCATTGCACTGACCGCACACAAACATAATACACAGGTAAACAGAACGAGAATGAAAAACAAACCAAAAGTCCCGAAAGAACGAAAACGTAAGTTGACCTTCTAAATTCTGAAAACTCACAAGTACGCCGATGAAAGTCACGGACGCGACTGACGCGATGACCAAAACTACATAGGTTATTATTATTGCAACTCGAACACCAATGTACCTAAATCTAAAGTACCGATTTTGGGGTTCCGCGTCAAGAAATATTATTTATTATTAGACCTTTCCATTACAACTAACCTTTATTTAATTATCATTTAAACTAAGAATAAGAGAGATACTTAGATTATTAATATCATTGTATAAGTCCGTATTTTATTGTTTCGTGAAAATAACACGGCTTTATGAAAAAAATAACAAAACTTCAAAGCAAATAATCTACAGAACCTTACTGACACATCAGAAACCCGGGTTTCTCAATACACATCGTCGTCGATTTTATGTCTCTCTCGCTCCTTCTTGCATAGACTAATGTGAGCAATGGTGCAGATATTGAACTTCAATTAAATTATTTGCAATTTCTTTTTTATTTTGACTGTATTATTACAGAAGTTTTTATATTAATAGTTTTTGAAACACCGTTAATCACAAGATTAGTGTTTTTTTATAGTTAAAAGTCATTTACTACTAACTTTTTCTTTGTTTGGAAATAATAAATTCCTCTCAGATGCATATTTATTCTAGGCATTTATCTTTAGATTTATTTAACTTCTGTTATTTTTTAAACTAGTTCGGCACATGGAGTCGATGACCAAATACAACACAACAGCTGTTTTTAGGGTTGTCAGCGTACAGTTTTACTTCGAAGAAAAAAGCTGAATATCTAGGTCATGTGCTGGGTTTCAGTCTTAGTGATCATTTTTCTGGGTTCTATTCATCATACCGTATGTGCCATATTCGGGATTATACAGGTATTACCAAACACGCTGTATATAAAATTATTACTAAAGTTGTTCGTATCGTACCGTGCCCGTAATAGATACGTTTTTTGCCTGATACGATAATAGCACGGTGTAATAGAAATAGTCGAATTTATTAATTCGAAATTTCATACAGGTACAAGAACAAGTAGTGTCACTGATTCAACAAGTCCTAGTGGATCGTTTACGCCAACATGATACGGTTGCACCAGAGGACACGTTGCCGTGGAAGTTTCTTGCGGCCATAACACGTCACAATATGCGCCGCCATCTGCAAAAAGCATGCACTCTGCTCAACAAGAACGGCAACTGCATCAAGTAAGACTACCCACAATTTACCTGTTTTAATACAGAGTTGCGTCAGTATAGGCATGCGCATACTACTTGAAAAAGACAAAATCTTTTTATAAAAAAGAAAAAATTATATGGTAATATAATTTTAATGACAAATTGAATAATTAAAAATGGTTACTGTGGCAACGTTTTAATTCCCCATACAAACTTCCACTACCATTTTCATCAGTTTATTTGCTGTTTTTCTGGATAAAATGTAGCCCATGTTCACCGCATATGATGTAGCTTCCCATTTAGAGATATTTTTTAAAATCCGTCCAGTAGTTTCGGAGCCTATTCGTTGCAAACAAACAAAGAATCGTATCTTTCCTCTTCATAATATTAATATAGATGTATTTTAGGAATCCTAAAAGCAATGTTTCATGTTGAAAAAATTATGTCAACATCACCACCCAGTAATCTTTTCCAGTTAAGTTGAAAATGAATGATTGTATTAAACATTCTAAGTAAAAGTGTAATGTTATTGTCAATATGTATACATAAAAAATGGAAATAATTTGATTTCTTGTTTGCATTGAATTGGCTGGACCGATTTCTAAAATTCTTTCACTTTTGATATGACATAGGCTTTAAAATACGCGAGCCGTGTTGTGGAAACAGTTAGTATTTTTTTTATCAATCCATCACAAAAAGAATATAATAATATTTTTAATGTTGTAAGCCTTTTGAAAGGAATATAAGTACAGTAGTTTTATTAATATAATTATATTTGCAGTCATCGTTTAGTGGATATAATAAGCACACACCTTAACGCTGTGAGCGACGAACGCGATTTGCAGTGTTTGGTGATGTTGACGAGCGTCGCTAAACACCTGGAATACTCAGACGTGAGCTTTGTGCTCGATTACTACTACAGGCTCACAGAAAGCTCGCAGGTATGTTGAAGTGAAAAATATGAATAAATAATTATCCCAATAAAGGATCGGAAAACTTTCTAATAAGTGTTTTAAATTAATGAATATGGGCACTTATTCCCACAAAAAAATATCATTTTATATAAATAAACCTCATTATGTACCCAAAACTATCTTTAAAATTTAATAGTTTAAAATAAACCGCGTGACTTGAAGGACGTGACGTCATTTGTGGGGAAACAATAATCAGTAAAAAAATAAGTTATCGTCTGCAGTATTTATATTTAAACTAGGGTTGCCATAAATCCTCAAAGCCCCGTCGGAACATTTAATTTTTTTCTTTATATTTGCTGCGTTCGTTGGTGCGCGGGAGTTCTTTAAAAGAAAAGCATTTGGAATGATTTATATTCATTTATTAATTATGGAGGATAACATAACAATTAATTAACATCATTCATTTTGAAATATAGCATTGTGAATGCTAAACAAAGTAAAAAGAAATATTTATAACCATCATTCTTTTTTATATTTATCAGATGATTTTACTTGGGACAGTAATTGTCTGTTACCTACAACGAATTTATAAAATTTACAAAATAATTTATAAAATCCGTTATAAAATAATTTATAAAATTCGTTAGAGGCTGCGCGCGGCTTGCGCGGCCTGCGCGTTCTAATTATGTTTGTCGGGATATTTTATAGCTTGTCGGGTCATCGGGACACCACTGTTAATAACGGAGACATGTTTCGACGTATCGGGACGAATGGCAACCCTAATTTAACCCCACAGGGACTTTAGCTACTCATCTTGGAATCTGAGCACCACATGTGACTTTGTTCAATATTTATTTATTTTATTATTATTTTAATCATACGTTTTTTAAATATGATAGTTAACGGAGTAGATACCACCTATTATTTTTATTTCTATGTGATACAGACCTATAATAATAAAAAACATACTTCTATTATTTACAGTACATTATTTTGTATTATTTTATTTTTCCTTTATCGACCTAACAGCGTGTATAACTTTGATGACAATAAATATCCAATTGTCTAGAATCGTGACGTTCGTCTTTTGCCGCTGACGTTAGAACTGCTCACTATGTGGTCGCGGTTCACAACACTCGATGCCCGAAGTGCTTTACGAGACCACCTTGTAAAGCGATTGGCATCTTCCGAGGATGATGGTAAGTTTATTGTCACGGTGTAATTTAATGACGCCGTTCAACCAAAAGACTAGTCGTACAATAGAAGTGATTTCCGATTTTGCTCCTTCTGGACGACTCTAGAATGACTGTAGGTAAAACGTCTAACATATTAGAACTTTTTAGAAGTTTTCGTATTAGTGTTAGTGGGTAGACACGCAATTATCAATTGAGAAAATAGATCTGCAAAAGTGAGATTTTAGTTACTTAAAATCTTATTTCATCTAAACTTCAAAATACCTATAGTTATGTTATTAACTTTTAGGTCTCAAAATATTTTAGCAAAGTAAATTAAGTATTAAAGGTACAGCAATAATACTAGAACTAGAAATAGTAGAATGAAATCGTTCCCTCCGAATCTCATTAAAACTCCAAATTAAACCAGATTGGAATAGACTGGCTTGTCTTGAAGAAAAAAAAAATAATCTAATGGCAGCTGTCATTACCGTCAAATTAATTATAGCGCCAACTGCTTCAAGAGATTAGTTGTCATTGAATTATTATTTTATCCAGTTGATTGTGGTAACATCAGTAAAAATGTAACTTCAATAAAAGTACCGTTTACCTACGAGACACAGGGATATATTTACCTATAATGATTACTCTGCTTATATGTAATTATGATATTTTATTATGTACATAATTAATTTTCATAGGTTGTCGGATAGCGTGTGCTTCTCTAGCAGCTCAGTTGGATCCTAGTAATCTTCAATGGGCCACAGAATTAATGCAACTCTGTAAGTGCACCTTTATAATATAAATGCTTATTTTTTATCAAACATGACACGAAAAAAAAAAAGAATTTTGAAAATCAATTGATAACTGGTGGAGTAATGGCGGGGTAAAAAACAAACACACAAAAAACATACAGTCGAATTGAGAACCTCCTCCTTTTTTGACGTCGAGGCATCTTGATCTTTGAATTACGTCTTATCGTAGGCAAATAGTAAGACGCTTGTGCGGGTTATTGTTTTAAAATATGTATTATATTATGTTTTAGCGGAGCAGCGAGCTCTTGACGGCGGCGAGTTGGAGGAGTGGATGCGAGCCGCGGACTTGTCTCTGGTCGCTCCCACACCGCCCTCTGCAGGCCTACTGAGACTTTTCTTGTCTGCTCTAGTCAACCCTCCACCTGGTAAGATATAAAAATAAATAACGATGATGGGTAACGTATAGATTTTGAGCAAAGCAAATAAAGCTCAAATAAACTATCACGAAGGTCAAGTAATGCTTCTAAATAACGGTCTTTAAATGACAAGTGGAAAATGCAAATTTATGATTACCTGATTATGAGTGTCTTTCTGAGTTACTGAGACAAAAATTGTCACTGTAAATAAATATCGGTAAATAATTTGAACTTCAATCATAAATTTAATATTGTATGTTTTTTAACTTTACCATTGTAGTAGTAATTGGGATGATGACTAATTTTTATTTGTTTGTCCGTCAGGTAGATTATTGAAGAATATCAAACACGTGTCTTTTTGTGTCGCAAAAAATTTGGGTAAATAGTGCATTGAGTTGAAATGTCGCATGATGTCACGCCTTTGTACAATTTCTATCTAGTCGTGACGTAGCGAACCCCCACTCCTCAACTTTAATATTTTTATTAAACGGTTTTATTTAGCTTACCCCGTTTGTTTCGTTCGTGGTGGGTCAAATTTAGTAATTAAAATTTTACCCTCTTACCGTCACCTGATTGATCTGAAATTTGGTATACGCCTTTGATTCTGGTGACAACACAATTATGTACATTCAATATTATTGTGAATTCGATGGCCGTCGCTACAAGATGGCAGACAACTTGTTTTTTTTAATCCCATCAATAAAGATATCAAATGAAAGGGCATGTTAAGTAGAATACAGGTAATTATACAAAATCAAAATTACAGAAGGCCGCCGAAAGAAATATAACTAACTATATATTATATGTTTTTCTTTTATTACCCTGTCATCATCCCTGGTGTTGTATGAGGCACACGTTGGTCGTTTTGTTAGAATGGTGCGAGAGTCGCCGCGGCGCGTGCGTGGCCGGTGCGGGCCGGCTGTGTGTGCGGTCCCGCGCCGCCGCCGCCGACACCGCGCCCGCGCTCGCCGCGCTGCTGCACCAGCACGCGGCGCCGCTGCCCGCGCGGCTCAACGCGCTGTTGGCGCTCACCGACATATGCACCAGGTGGGTACGGTACAGCGCGACTCAACGCCCTCCTTGCGCTCACCGACATATGCACCAGGTGGGTACGGTACAGCGCGGCTCAACGCGCTGTTGGCGCTCACCGACATATCGACGCTAGAAAGCAAACGCGTAGTAACCCGCAAAACCAAAATTGTTCTTCAGAGCAAAAAAACTTTTATTTCTTTCGATAAAAAATCCCTATAAATGTCAATGGTAACAAATAAAGTGTTCCTTAGTCAATATACACCGAAATAAGATAATTTTTTTTTGAAAAATATAAAGATTTTCCACTCAAAATATCCATTTTGGTTTTGCGGGTTACTACGTGTTTGCTTTCCAGCGTCGATATGCACCAGGTGGGTACGGTACAGTGCGACTCAACGCGCTGTTGGCGCTCACCGACATATGCACCAGGTGGGTACGGTACAGCGCGACTCAACGCCCTCCTTGCGCTCACCAACATTTGCAACAGGTGGGTACGGTACAGCGCGACTCAACGCCCTCCTTGCGCTCACCGACATATGCACCAGGTGGGTACGGTACAGCGCGACTCAACGCCCTCCTTGCGCTCACCGACATCTACACCAGGTGGGTACGGTATCCCGCAGGGGGCGACTTCTCTCCTCCCCTAGAGAGAAGTCCCAGCGCGGGTTGAGCCCGGGCCCTCCTTGCTGGATACCCGACTCATCCATTCGCGTGAGGTGAACCGTAGCGGGTTTTACCAGGTAGGGCTTCCACACTAACCTGCCCTTTTAAGGACGGGATGGAAGAGGAGCCCTGGTTTAAAGGCTTAAAGTGTATTTCCCCAGTGTTAAAAAAAGGTGGGTACAGCACAGTGGGACACGCGGCGCCGATGCCCGCGCGACTCGACGCGCCCCTGGCACTCACCGACATTGCTTAATCATTGAAATGTTACTGAATGGGGCAGAACGTAGCTGACACCGCTTCATATGTGTACCACACAACTGCGATTCGGAAACTGATACTTTTCATTTTTTAGTAAATTTACACCGCATTAATTGGAGCAGAACAGTAAAGTTAAAACAATGAATTCTATTGGTTGTGTACGGTTTATACCGCACATTAAGCATATTACCGCGTCAGAATTTACTTACATATTCATTCACATTTTATATACATTAACAGTGCAATCAAGGCATTGTCGCGCGCAGCAAGTATCAAGTGTATATATATATAATTCGCAAATAAATCAATATTCAAATCGACAAGGATTCTTATTTATCAATTAAATCAGTTAGTTCGTGGATCAAGCAAAGTACGCGAACATATGGTCCTTCGAGGAACTGTTCAGTGATTCTTTGTGATTTCACGTGATAGCGAATCGGTCCAGTCGGCCTCCCACAAGCGGGTCTCACCGACTGTATTGAGAAGGCGCTCATATCACGCGAAAGGATATTAGACACTGAATATCAAGAACCAGCAAGTTTTCAAGTTACAAGAACAAGTTTACTGTGGAATCTTTGTTGTGAAATACAAGTCCACGGCAGCATCAAAATCGTGCACATCAAAAATCATATAAATATCAAGTAAGGTACCTTTTCTATCAAGTAAATCAAGATCAAGTTAATTTTATTTAAATATTTATCCAGTTTATAAAATTAACATGGATATGAATGACTTACTCT